GTGTCTATGAAAAGCTTAGGCCCAGGCAAAGTAGTATAAGCCTTTAATCCCAGGAGACTGAGGAAAGCAGATCTCTGAGTTCAAGGCCAGCCTGGGAGAGAGCAAGTTCCAAATCCAGGCACAGTGGTACACGTCTTTATCTGGACCATACCTTCTGTTGGAAGCCTACATAGGACAACGGAAAAAGGAAGGGTTTGTTCTTTGTCTATTTGCACTTACTTGCCAGCACGTCTGTTGGAACCTACTTCTTCAGGATTCCAGCTTATACAGAAGACCAGTTAATCCAATTGTAGGCCATATCCAAACAGCTAGCCTCTTGGGACTGGGAAACTACTAGATTCTTGTACTTCCTATTCACGGCTGCCCATTGTCGGGTTAGTTAGACTGCAGACTGTAAGCCTTCCAATAAATTCCCTTAATAAATAGACATTCCATAAGTTCTGTACCGCTAGAGAACTTGACAGCCACATAAGGCCTTAACTTCCCTATTTGACCTCCTGGTCCTACACATTCAAGCCATTATAAACTTTGTTTTGTCTGAGATAACTGTCCAATTTCTAGGAACTGGGTATAAAGTTCTGCACCAACAGATGCTAACTGGCTTGAGATGGGGCCCTAGACACAGGGAGCAGACAAAACTCCAACCGCAGGCTTCCCCCTGGGTGGGCTTCGAGTTCCTTCTCCCTCTCGCTCTTCCCCTTACACTTCATGGCTCACTATCCCCATACCCTGTGTTTTAACTTTTTCTTCATCCTCTACCCATACAAAATGTTCCACAGAAGCTCTCCCAATGGCTCTCGCCCTACGACAGCCCGATTTGTTCCTGATACATCTGTATAGATCTTTTAGATGCTGTGGAGAAATTCTGGCTAAACCGGACCTTCAACCCTTTCACCTCAGGCCGGATGCAATTCCTTAAGTCAGTCTTCTATGACTTCCCTTTCCCTTCCTTTGGCGCTCTGGCTGCCTGCTGTGCCTGCCACCTCCCTTTGGTGCAGTGCCCCTGCTGGTGGCGCTAGTCACTCAGGCTGAGTCAGCTCTGCGCTTACTTCCTCTGGCTGGCTCTCTCCACCCCTCCTGCCTCTACTGTATTCAAATCACCACCTTAACGATTATTTTTCAAAAAGTCTCTCCAGATATGCAGCAATCACATGACACACCACAGCCATCAAGTCAGGACTCCCCTGCTACGTGACCAGTGTACCCCTTCTTCAACGGACTCAGACCTACTGCCCTCCAACAATGACCCTCCTTATCAGAAAACAGATAAGAAAAATTTGTCACCCCGGCCCCGCATTTTTTATATCGCCTTAAAAGTTTAGAATGACAGTTTCATGCTAAAATATTGTACTTTCCAGCTTCCCTTGTGGCCAGGCGAGACACCTCAAGCAGGGAGGACACTGCTGCCGTCCTTCTGCCCTCTACCACTGCTCTAGCCAGACTTCATCACCTACTCCAAGGCTGCCGTCACCAACCAATAACTCATGTCCCCAGCCCCCACTAACTTCCAATCGTCTTCCTATGAATTGGTACTTTCATTTTTAAAAAGTACTGCATGCTTCATAAACATTAGATTCTATATGCACAAGCATTTTGTTTCTTGCTTAGTGTTTTTCATATGCACCCATGCCCTAGGCTGTTCAGATCTTCATGCTACAGATTCCAATTCATAAGTCTTGAGGCAGTAGGAAGAGTTGTCCCGTACACAGTGTGGACCCGAGAGGACTCTACTGTTCACTGAAGCTTTCATGCGTTTCTGAAGATCAGTTTCTCTGTCCATATCTGTAGGGCCATCCCCATGCACAGCATGAAGAGTCACATTTCCTCCAATGCCCCATCAGTCCCCTCAAAAGTGAGCAGGCTACCTCAGCTGCAGTGCTGTCTCAGGAGCTGCTGGGCTTTTATTATTGCTTACACTATCAGTGTATCTACTGTGTGTGTGTGTGTGTGTGTGTGTGTGTGTGTGTGTGTGTATGTGTGTGTGTGTAGGGGGAAAGAGGGAGAGGGAGAGAAAGGGAGAGACAGACAGAAAGAGCAGTCTGTATTATGACATTCTATGGGTCATGGGGCTGCTTGCAAGAGTCAGTTCTCTCCTTCCACTACATGGGTCCCAGAGATTAAACTCAGGTCATCAGGCTTGGCAACTTTACCTGCTGAGCCATCTTGGTAGGGTAGCAGCTTATTTGAAAGGAGAAAATTTGCCTAGAAAGGATTTGCTGCCTCTGTTAACTCAGACTACTATTCAAATATCCTCACTCCCAGGCAGAACATGCTTTGGTAAACAGCTATGAAAATGTCATTGTACCTATCCAAAAATGTCCAAATATCTCTTCTGAAAAAAATTAGCTCTCCTAGCACCCTGCCTCGCTATCCCCAGCTAAGGTTCTTTACCTGATCACTGGGATAGCTATTTTGCAAACTGAGAACTAAACAGGAGTCACATTCTCGCTGGAGCTGTGGATCATCATAGAGCCCCTGCCTAGAATCCCACAGTGAGGGGCTGGGGGCGTGGCTCAGTGGTAGAGCCCCTGCCTAGAATCCCCCAG